CCCAGCTCCAACTTGACCAACCTGATTCCTCATGTTCCCATTCCCCCATCCCCTCCCCTCCTCCACCACCACCCACTCCCAGTTTACCCAGGAGATCTCATCTATTTCCTCTTCCTAGAGAAATCCATGAATCTCTCTTAGGGTCATCCTTGTTACCTAGCTTCTTTGGGGCTGTGAATTGTAGCCTAGTAATTCTTTGCTTTACATCTAAGATCCACATATGAGTGAGTACATATACCATATGAGTACATATGTTTGTCTTTCTGGGGCTTGGTTACCTCACTCAGGATGATATTTTCTTTTTTTTTATTAAGAAATGTTCTACTCATTTTACATACCAACTATAAATACCCCTCTCCTCCCTCCTCCTGCCCCCAGCCTTTCCCCCCAACCCACCTTCATTCCCACCTCCTCCAAGGCAAGGCCTCCCATGGGGAGTCAGCAGAGCCTGGTATATTCAGTTGAGGCAGGTCCAAGCCCCTCCCCCTGCACCAAGGCTGTGCAAGGTGTTCCACCATAGACAGCATGATATTTTCTAGTTTCATCCATTTGCCTGCAAATTTCATGATGTCGTTTTTTTTTTTTTTTAACCTCTGAGTAATACTCCATTGTGTAAATGTACCACATTTTCTTTATCCATTCTTCAGCTGAGGGGCATCTAGGTTGTTTCCAGGTTCTGGTTATTATGAATAACACTGCTATGAGCATAGCTGAGCAAGTGTACTTGTGGTATAATTGAGCATTCTTTGGATATATGCCCAAGATTGCTATAGCTGGGTCTTGAGGTAGATTGAGTCCCAATTTTCTGAGAAACCACCACACTGATTTCCAAAGTGGCTGTACAATTTTGCACTCCCACCAGCAGTGGAGGAGTGTTCCCCTTATTCCACATCCTCTTCAGTATAGGCTGTCATTAGCATTTTTGGTCTTAGCCATTCTGACAGGTGTATGATGGTATCTCAGAGTCATTTTGATTTGCATTTCAGACACTGAAGGGCAGGCAGCAAAGGTCAGTGTGTGCAGAGCTCCAGAGGGCCCTGACAGAACCTGGCTATCAGAGCAGACACTTTTGTTAGTAGTTACATTGCTCCATGTTGCTCTTCCAAGGCTTTAAGAAATGACTTTGAACTCAGGCGAGGGCTCTCCACAGGACATTCAAATTTTGTGGAGGATTAAAAGTGGAAATACTTATTCTTTTCCATTTGGACATTCAAATAGTATTAATGAATTTTCTGGAAATGGGAGCAAGACATCTAGCTTCTGGTCAGGAACATGGGTCATGTCAGCAACAGAAGAGCAGTGGGCAGGGCTGGAAGCCAATGCAGAATGAAAAATGAGTAAGGAAGAGAAAGGCAAGAAGAGTTTACTTACCTCCATGCGGCTCCATGAGAGGGCAAGTGCAGGACCGGCCTAATCAGGGTCTGTTTGGGCTTAAGACAGGTCAGGCATTGGATTCACTCATGCACATCCCACATTCAACAGGCACTTGGGCCTTGTGAACATGCTGAGGAGGATTTGAGGAATCAAATCCAACAGTGCAGCCTTCAGCAAAAATGACCTTTGCTGGCCTCGGGGAAGAAAGACAGGGCAGGCTTCATAGCCTAGTTCTAAACAGCTATTGAGCAGTAACCACTGTCTCGATTACAAAACAGGACTGTTCCGTGATTGAAGATGTTATGATTTAGTGGATTGCATACACCAGAGTTTAGATCATGAATGCCTAACCAAATGTTTCAAATTTAAGCAAAACTGGTTTATAGCAAAGTGACCATAATCTTTTCAAAAACAGTGATTCCAGTGTAGTACTATGCCTGCTTCCCCTTCTAAAGGTAAAACTGGGTTTAGTTAACAATGGTCAAACCTACTCCAGGTTGCTTTTATGTTTAGATTCATAACTGGCTATTCAAATATGTTTCCAGAGGAGAATTCCATACATCAGTTCATCGCAGAACAAAATCATCCATGTTCACGACTTGTTCACTCATTAAAGAGAGTGAAGCAATTGTGGTCTGTTTTTGTTCTTTTCTGTCTCAATTTAGTTAGAATTCTCTGCTTCTAAAAGTCGTGGCTTTGACTTATGGAAAGGCATTTTAGTGTGGGTTATGCAGATTATCAAAGAAGATTTAACATCTCTCAATTTTCTTTTCTGTAAGAGAAACAATTCCTAAGTGGGCCCAGCTTGAAAGTCAGCAGATCATACCTGACATGTATGCCAGGCCTGCCTCAGAGCCGCTCAAGGAAGCTGCCTGCAAGTGTCAGTGGCACTGTTGCTGGGCATCAGGGTGTCTGGAGCACCTATCTAGGGACATTCCTCAGATTCTGCCTTTGGACCTCTCTTGAGACTGGGTTACAATGACTCAGAGTGATGATCAGCCCAGGTTCCATGCAGTGGACACCAGCTCAGAGACCAACTGACCCTGGCTGGGGAGTGTCAGGGTTTGGTGTGGTTTGTCTCCCCAGGATACACATGTTAGAAGCTTGGTCCCCAGGATTTCAGTGTCGGGAGATGGTGGGCCACCTTCAAGAGATGGAGTCCAGCAAGAGGTGCTTAGGCCACTGAACACTGAAGGCATGCCTTTGGAATGTACTAAGGTAGGTTTCCTGGGACTTCTGGTCAATGGAGTGGAGATAGATCATAACACCAGCTCTAATGCCTGAGACACTGAAGATCTCCCTCCCATTCTTGGTCCTATCACTCTGACAACACCCACCATAATTCTTTACCAAAAGCTAAGCCAGTGAGGTCCCTGACCAAAAGTTTGAACTTTGAAGGTTTTACACGAAATAGACTTCCATTCATATGACACCCTTCAAAAGACAAGAGTAAGCCAGGCGGTGGTGGCGCATGCCTTTAATCCCAGCACTTGGGAGGCAGAGGCAGGCGGATCTCTGTGAGTTCGAGGTCAGTCTGGTCTACAGAGCGAGATCCAGGACAGGCACCAAAACTACACAAAGAAACCCTGTCTCAGAAAAAAAAGACAAGAATATATGGATGGATAGAAGGTGTATTAGGGAAGACAGAGTGTATGTACAGAAGGTGTATTAGGGAAGACAAGAGTGTACGGACAGAAGGTGTATTAGGGAAAAGAAGAGTGTATGGACAAGAGTGTATGAATAGAAGGTGTATTAGGGAAAAGAAAAGTGCATGGAGAGAAGGTATATTAGGGTTATAGGGTTTAGGGGACAAGGAGCAGCTGACTACAAAGAGGGTAAACAGGGCCACTTCTAAAGGAGACAGAACCACTCCGTCAAGGATGGAAGTCATAGACGCAGGAATCTCCAGGCTTGTTAAAGCCCACAGAACTGTTCTGCCTAACTGTCTCTCAGACTGTCTGCATCTGCATGAGTCAGCAGACCTATGTGTCACACATGTTTGTGCTGGTGCACGGGCACTGTTTTCTTCCTGCTGTCCTTGAGGCCCTCCACTCAGAGGCTAAGGGGTAAGTAACAAGAGTCCACTTCCATGTCTTGCAGTTGCACACATAGATCCTGCTGGATCCCTTCTCTAACCAACCGGAAGGCAGTCTATGGGGACTTCCTAGGACTCCCCTTCTGCGGCTCTGCACTGGCAGACAGGCAGAGTCCATTCCACATGAGTCAGAGTCTTGGCTCCAGCCCAGGCCAAAGCTGCTGCTGGCTGAGCTGGGAAATGCAGGAGACACTGTTTATCCTGGACAGACAGTAAATAAACAAGACTTTCCCTAGTGTCCCATGAAAATGACTTACAAAGAGTCAGGTGAAGTGAACACTCTTAAGGAAACTCAAATTCACAATTCACACCTGTTTCCCAAGCTCTTTTTCCCAGAGAACTATTTTACAGAGGACATTGACTGCTGGCTCTGAAGGAAGGGGTCCTGATTCTGTTAAATAAGAGTGTAATACAAGGAAATGGGGCCTGAGACCCACACCCAAGACACCACAGAGATGTGCTATGCGGCTCTGAGCATGTGTGAAAATGTTTATGAAGTGCTCAGACACAGGGAAGCATAACAATATCCTGACTAAAGCTGGAGTTACAGACAGTGGTGAGCTGCCATGTGGTTGCTGGGAATTGAACCCTGGCCCTTTGGAAGAGCAACCAGTGCTCTTAACCATGGAGCCATCTCTCCAGACTCTCCTCATTGATTCTTAATCCTATGAAGTTGACA